CCCTGCTCATGGCAGGGGGGGTGGAACTAGATGATCTTTAAGGTCCCTTCCAACCCAAACCACTCTATGATTCTATGATTTGTATACTAACATCCCAGTATCATCTATGGGACTAAGTTTCTACAGTGATTATTACCAATAATGGCATTGTTTCCTCCCAGTTCCAGCAGACTTCGACCTAACAAAAACACACAAGACAAGTTATGTCACGCACACATGTATTCACTGCAGCTCTATCGAGCTAAATTTCATTAAACCTGTTTTTCTGGACAGACAAAAAGTTTCAGGAATGACAGTCAACTAATGACTCTATCCAAAGCAGAAAATCACACTGAATACTACGTCTGTAACATGCTGTGAAGAAGGATACCTGGAGTGCAGTTAGGGCAGGAAAAAGCTTAAAAAAATAGACAAAAAATAGCACTGAGAAGGAAAATATAAAACCAGAAAGAGCTTCAGAATAAATAGTATGATACAGACAAACAAAAGGAGGTGGTGCTACAGAGATAAAAATGCATACATAAAATGCAACCAGGCTTATTTATTTCTCTGGCAATTGTATCATCTCAAATCTGAAAAAGGAAATCACCATCTGCTTCAGGATGAACTTCTGCAATCTGTTCTGATTTTTTTTAACACTCCTATGAACTTCAAGCCCTGTTCACAGGGCTTTCTGCCTAAAACTACAAAGTTTAAATCCAGCAGCTGCGCAGACTTACGCCTGCACACTTTTATTTTTATTTGCAATGAAACCAGCACCTCAAAAATCGTAACTTTTCTCCTGTATTTATAAGGAGTAAAAGGTAAGGGGCCATTTCTCCATTAACATGTCGCCAAGAGACCAACATCAATGGCTGTCCATCCTGACAATCGCCATACAGTTATATTCATGGATCCATCTCCCCCGAGAATTAACTGCAGGACCATGAATTTGTGGATACCCTGGAAAAAAAACTGAGTGGTGACACAACTAACTGAAAAATGCAGTATCTAGCTCTGAGCAGCCTGTGCATCCCATTTCCATTAAGTTAAAAACCAAAAAGGTAACACAGGAGGTAAGTGAAACAAGCTGTTATTTAAAAAACCTATGGGGCCGCTCTGCCTTCCCCAGCCACGGAAAGAAGTGAAGTGAAGGAGGGTCCCCATACACTCACCAAATCTCTCCTGAACCAGGAGCGCTACCTGCTTGCCCACTTTCGTGCTGCCAGTGAAGGACAGCAGGTCCATTCTCTCATCTCTCGCCATTGCTGTCCTGCACAACGGGAGACATACCACCACGTTTAAGGGAAGAGTAGGCAGCTGGAAAAGCTGCTCACACCTTTCACATAAACCAGCTTCAACCAGAGACACCTTTTAAAGTCAGAGCCACTGCTCTGAACGCATCAGGTAAGTGACTGAGCAGACAGCAGGAAAGCTGCTTCCCTCCCCTTTTTCAGACTGTAAGATCATCACCTGCACTAATTTTGAATTTCAATCTAAAGCACGTGATGAAATCAGCTCCAGTTATTATGTTCCCTAAGAAAACATGCACACCTATGACTTTAATGCTTAGCATCTGTTTTGTCTTCTGAAATGCTCGAGTACGTTTGTATATACACCTGTACTGGGAATTCCCACACTGTAATAATCAAACAAAACAATTTGATTTGTACAGGTTCCGAGCATCTAGGCATCTATGAGCAAGTGCAATGGGCTGTGTGAGTGTGGAAAACGGGGAAGTATTCTCTTCCACAACTGGTCCAAAAGGCCAATGAGCTAGAAACTGAAAACTCTCAGGAACATGGCAAGTGTCATTTAATATTAGCTGTATTCTTTGGGTGTAAGTATATGCAGAAGTAGAATATAAACTTAGCCACGTCTCTTCAATAAATATCTGCTAAGTTACTCGTCAGCAGCTGACCTCACAACAGCCAGCAGAAATACCCATTATGTTTACAGCTGTGCCAATTTCAGACCAGCTGATAAAAATGACGGCAACAGGTACATGCATGGGAACTCCCGGAGATCACAGTAACTTTACCAGAAGTAGCTCAGAGAATATTCCTGATCCTCTACACACCTTCACAAAACACAGGAAATGTTACCTACCCAATGTCTGCTCCACCACAAACCAGAGAACAGATCGCTCCAGGCACTTTGTTATCCTCCAAGACTTTGGCAATTATCCTAGAGGCAAAGACGTGAACGTTTCAGAGATTTCCAACAGGTGCACATAATAGGGAATGAACAAATAAAACTGCCTGACCATGCACACGAAGAAGCTACAGCAGCAGTCTTGCAGTTAATTGACATGTTGCATATTGTATAAACTACATGCTTCTCTCATCAATGACTCTGGTGTTATAATCACAGCTCACACAGAAGTACAACACTAAAATATATTCATTATGCCTCAACTGGCCCAGACAAGCATGAGACCAGTGTGTAAAAACCTTGGTCATGCAGTCTTTCCCCATAAGAAAGAGACATTTATAGAACTTCAGGGAGTGACATAAAATTATCTTAAGCAGCTTGAGGCCATGTTCTTAGGGACTTAATATCAAATCTATAAGATTTACTAATTAGTTATTTTAGAGGGGCTTATTTATATTTAGCATTTAAAAGTGTTATTAGTAGCACACAATAGATTATAATTTAAAATGCCAATACAGTAAACAAGGTAACAATAAATCTAGACAAAGGATCACTATGGAATTTATCCCTTGGAGTTGTTTTTATCAAGAATGAGTTTTCAACCCTGGAAACCCATGCTAAGGTGTTACTAGGCTTGGACAGTAAAGACTGTGTGAAGGCACCTTCAGGATACAGGTCTACACAGCCAGCCAGAAGAATTTGCCAAGAAGCAGGGTGCTGATGTTGGGCTGAGGCTCCCCAAAAAAGGGATGAGTCTGAAATATGAGCGTGTGATTGAGGGAAGCTGAATTTCATGAGCAATTTATCTTTTACAAAGAAGCACACCATGTAGCTAGTCCTACTTCTGGTCCCTGGCTGAAGAAAGATACAGCCAACAGTACAGGCAACATCCTATATATACTGTTATTTCTTAAGAAACAATGGAAAAGCAGTTCTTCCAACCACTAAGCACTACTTGAAACAGAAAAGAAGTTGTTTAAAAAGCAAAACAGAAAGCAGAGAAACCAGAACTCACTTTGTAACAGCAACACTAATGAGGGATGTTGTGGGAGCACCCTTCCTAAAAAGAAAAAAAAATTTAAAAATATATATTCTTTTCTTTTCAGTTCTTTGAGAATAAGAAAGAATTCAAAGATGTAATTTTTATGGTATCTTAAATAAAGCACACATTGGTTAGGTGGTTTTTCGGGTGCATGTTAAGACAGGAACTCAAGCATTCCTCTCCACAGCTGAGCATTCAGAACTTCTACTGAAATCCACATGAAAAAAAGTTCTGCCAGACATAAGAGTGAAGCAGGTGTAGGAAAGTGAAGCAGGAGCAGGCACAGGAACTAAAGCTACTTATTTAGATTCTTAATTTTAGCTGTACCGATTCTGGCAATATTAACTGTTTGCTACCATAGCTGCAAGACCTCAACCTGGGTTCTTTATTAACAGGCCATCTGGCTAAGTCCTGGACAGGTCTGAATCTCAACATCTCATACAAGAGGTTGGTACAAAATAAAACAAAGCTCTGTGACTACAAGTAAACCTAAAAATACATAGAAATTAAGCTTATGTGAGACAGAATCAAACACACAGAAACAGCAGATGTGATAACAATTTCATGCCTGAGATAATGGCTCTCCAATTTTAAAATATTGTTAGCACGTTGGAGAGCTGTATCTTACCAGAGGCAAGCGTTTCCACATATCATGGCAATTGCGCTGTTCCACCCATAAACTGCTACGGGGAAGTTAAAGGCCGTGATGATTCCTACTAACCCAACGGGATTCCACTGCTCTATGAGGGCATGACCAGGTCCTGAAGGCAAAGACACAATGTAATGCAATTTGCATCCATTTAGTTTTATGGCTTTTTAAAAGGAAACCATGTGAGCAAGGGGCTTAGCATCACTCCTCTGTCCATCGGAGCATTAGCTTGAGGAGAGCTGCATTATGCGTGCTCTGCAGCTTACTGGAACAAGGTTAGCTAGACTGTGGAAAAACCTAGTACCATGACAACATCAAGTTCTACTGCCTTAACTGTTTGGATACAGAATGGTGGTTGTTTACTCATCAATAACTGGCAAAAAAGGTAATTTCTGAGTACACTGCTGAACTTTTCACATACTGTCTCCTAGCCCCTTCATTAACAAAGAAATCAAAGATAATCTAATGCTTCAGGTGGAGAGAAAACCTACTGCCTCCTGCTGCACGCCGCAGGCTGGACTCTTCCTTAGGCGGCGCTGCTGCCAACGCTCACATCTGTTCCTAGACAGCATGCTCCCTACGTAACCCACAGCACAGAGATTTTGCTGCACTACGTCACCGCATATTTAAGATACATCTCCATCTCTTCACCTGTACCTCAAAAAAAACCCCCAAACCCAAACACACATACACACACACTTACTTTCTGAAGGCAAAATAGGTCCACCAATCATTCGGGACAATCCAACAGCATAGTCACAGACATCGACATATTCCTGCACTTCCCCAACGCCCTCGACGAAGATTTTTCCCATTTCCAAAGAGACCTGAAAAAATTAAGGCTGAGACAGAAGTCTATCTTTAAAAATCCCCATGCATCCCCAATACATTCCACCTCCCACTACTAACAGGTATATCTGCATACCAAGTAATATTTTGCACACATTTTTTTCAGAAGAAATCCACGTCTTCCCGAGTTATTCACAGCTTAAGGAAAGAACAGTATGGACTACTAGTCACTTTCATAAAACAGGAGGAAATTAGAAGAGGAAATTAAAAATAATCTGCTGAAAGGTATATCCAACAGTCATGAGGCTCATGAGTTTAGATCAATGAACACTGAATTTCTACCAGGCTGCTTGCACACATTGTGAACCAGGTGTGGAATCAGCTGCAGAAGAGGCATCACTCTGCTCCAGCAAAAAAAAAAAAAAAAAAGGTCACTTACATTCTTCATAACTAATTTTACAGCACAGAATACTAGAATCACAGAGTGGTTTGGGTT